AGATAGGACGAGAGGAAATGGCCTCAAGTTGTGCCAGGGGAGGTTTAGATTGGACATGAGGAAAAATTTCTTCACTGAGAAAGGTTGTCGAGCATTGGCACAGGCTGGCCCGGGGAGGGGTTGAGTCACCATCCCCTGGAGGTAGACGCGTAAATGTGGTGCTTAGGGACATGGTTTAGTGGTGGACTTGGCAGTGCTAGGTTAATGGTTGGACTTGATGATTTTAAAGGTCTTTTCCAACCTAAATGATTCTATGATTCTATGTATCCCAAAACCTTCTCCATAAAATCTTCATGAAAACCTGTTTATCTGCATGGAATATTTTTGTTTCCACAAATTTTCATTTTATTGGAAGTGTTCTGAATAGCTCTAGTCTCAGAGTGTGTATACACTCCAGTGCTGGATTTACTGAGTACTTTGACTGTTGCACAGTGAGTCCCAAATTGGCTAATATGAACGGTATCTTCATTTGCTCTAGGGCACATTGTTCCAATGAACCTTTTATAAACCAGTCACCCAAATATTGATAGATACACAGGCTCTTTTGCCTGAGGTCCCTTGCTGCCTCTGCCATTACTCTTGCAAATACACAAATAAGGTTGGTGAAGAAAGGGAGGAGTTTTAATGTGGAACTCATTTATAGCTAAGACAAGAACATAACCTAATGCTACATTTCCAATTTTAATCAGCTCCAACTCAAATGCAAAAAAAATGTATCAAAAAGTGTTAAAAATCTGTTTCAATGAATTGAGATGACAATCAAATCCATCTCATTTTTGTTATTCTACAAATTTTAGGAGGCCTGAATCATCCCCCACATTGATATATTCTTTCGTCACTCACTGTCATCCTACCCACTCTATACTGCCAACAATATGCAGATTTGTCTCCCCTTTTTGTCCTAGTGAAACTCATGTTGATGTTTACAGGTCATTTAAGTATATGATTTATTAGGTATGCAGTAAAGATTATTAAATACGGAGTGAAGACTTCAGGAAGAACACACTCCTGGGATAACAAAAATTTGTCAGAGAAGATTTGGAAGCTGAGTGTAGAGTAAAAGAATGTTTTTGTGGCCAATTTCATATTTTACAGATGAATTCTACTCTTTTTAAATTTAAAAAAAGTTATAGAATATTTTTAGAAGGAACAAAAACCATCAATATATTAGAATAGAATGGGACTGTACAGCATCTCAGTGTTTCATATGCATACATACAGACTCATATAAATCATTACTACTGTTTTACCTTAAGCAGTATCTTACAAGTTAAAGAGTCAGAGAATGTTTTACAAGCCCTAGACCTGATCAAGGAGGTCCTCTTGCCTCCCCCTGGTGATTCAGGTGACTGGGCCCCTCCAGAAGAGGGGCCAATGTTCTGGCCATTACTGAGCTGATTAATTTTGAACAATGCAGAAGATCAAACTCCTAGTTGTGTGCAGTACCCGCTGAATGCACTTGGGCAAAGGTATCACAAGGAACTAGCCAGAACTCTAACTCTCTGCCAAAAAGGAAACAAAATAAAGAACAGGTAAGGTTAACAGAGTACTACAGTTTGCTAGGAGCCACCTCTCACGTATCCTTTTTACCCAGAATACACTGAGTATGTGGGTTGTTTCTTGAAGTCATCTAGGAATTCTCCCAGCGCTCTTGCAGCGTCTAACCTCCAGCCATTCACAGTTATACAGTTATCAGACATGATTAGACCTGAATAATGGCATCATTGGTAGTGATGGGTAAGCAAATGTGTTTAGCGTAACCCCTAATCATGTTTTCATGAGAAAAATCATCTGCAGTGTTCACCAAATATCAGTTGATATGCCACTGTACTATTCTTATGGAATCTTTATGTGGCAAAGAATTGAGAAAAGTTATGTGAGAAGTTAGTGAAGAAAATATCTGGTTTCTAAATGAAGGGAAATATATTTTAATTATTGGGCTAGCATTGCAGGAAGTAATACATTATGCTTCCTCCAGCTTCTATAATGGTCCATTCAGCCTGCAGAAAATGTTACTTGCTTGAAATGGCCAGGACTCTGTGAAACCCACAGTCAAAGGGCTGGAGCTGGAAAGATTTGTTGGCTGACATGTTCCCTACCTGCTCTGTCTGAGTCTCCTTTTTGGATACTGCATCATATATGTTTTATTAAATTTGAAGCCACAGTTTCTCTGGTCAACTTGCATCCATTCCAACCTGTTGCTAGGTTTAAAGATAACACATCAGAGCTGAATCTAGCCACAAAAAGCCAAAAGATTACTCTTTTCAGTTGAAAATTATCAACACATTATACCTCCTCCACCAAATCACAGATTTTTTAAGGGAGTTTATTTTTTCTGGAAACAAGCAGTTTTGTTAAACTACATTATAGGTATTTGCCTGTACAACACTGTTTACATGAATGATACTTCCTTCACATGTGCAGTGGTGGGCTCCACCATTTGACAATACAGTTCTGATGGATAATTTTGTACGTGCTGCAGAAATATGATCAGAAGAAGCAATTGGGATAAAAATG